GGCATCGCTGCCGGCCGCTTCTTCTCGTTCTCGTTCTCGCGGCTATCAGTGAAAGTGACAGGAAAATCGCTCGACAGCACGGCGCAACTCCCCCGGAGAAACCGGGCGAAACGTTTTAGATCCTTGGAACGCTCGCATCGGCCGGAGGTAGTATCGACTGACGAGAAAGCGTATCGACGGATGCAATCGGCCACGCTGATCGTCACCTCGAATTTCCACCGGATACCTGCGATATAATTTTCCAACTTTTAACTAATAAAATAATTTAAAAACTGCCGAACGCTGAATATACTCTCAGTTTTCGTCATCGACGTGAACTTTTTCCGAGGCAATAACTGTAATTATTTCAATTATATTTCTTGTGCCGCAGTTAATGCTGTCCCATTTCTTAAGCACGGACGTAAGCAGAGGAAAATTTCCAATCAGGCGCGCTATTTTTAAATATCTGTGCATCGCGATTGCTTCTTTGGAGAATCGTTGTCAATTCCTCAAATTCATCAACAGTCATGGCGCTCAAATAATGCTCTTGATGTGAAATTCTTGACGTCGCTATTGCTTAGGAAATGAAACATCATTAATGGAGTCGGCTATGCTTCATTAATTTTGTGACGATCGGAAACCAATAAGACGTGCGACAGAGCGGAGCTTTTCTCATCTCACGTACGGCCCTGGATAATCTTGGACAGTCGACAAGACTACACTTAAAAGACGTTAAGCTAACGTTCTTTATAAACTTCGTAGTCGGCCACACATATTCAAAAACAAGTAGGATCAGTTGTGTGAACTCGATTTATCGGAAGAATTATTGCACGAAAAAGACTGTAAACTCATAAACAGAGTCGAATGGGCGAGACACGTCCTCTCAATCGCCCCTCAGTGTCAGATCTGTCTCTGAAGTGCATCCCTATAACGAAACATTCTGTATATAGGACTGTCGTAAACCACTTTGCCGAGTTCATCTCGTCAGCTATCCCGTCTCACTCCGTTTCTTCGCGTTGCATCCGGTTTTCTCCCGGTTCTCTCTCGCCGCTTTAATTGCGCGTCTTCCTTCTTTCACTCAATTATCCTCCTCAAATCAACGCGGCTAGCCGTATCGCACGTAGAAGGAGCTTAGACAATGTTCCTCAAAACTAGGTGAGCCACTTTTACGCACCGCGATCGGATCGCACTGGATCTTTCCACTCATTCGCCCGCGCAAATTGTTTCGTCGCGGATAAGGTGACAGATTACGGAATAACTGCGGAAAGCGCGTCGGAATGTAGATTAATGATAGATTAAACATGGAATGTAAGAGTGAGTAAGAAAGAGGGGTAAAGAGCTATTTTTATGTAACGCGATTGGAATGCGCTGGGCCCTTCCGTTCGCCCGCGCAAATTATTCCATCGCGAGTAAGACGGTGGAATACGGAATGATGGTGAAATATAAAATGTCGGAATATAGAAGAGGCGCTCTTTTACGCGACGAATGGTGAAAACGCGACGAGTCTTTACGACTGTTTCAGCCAGTTCAAGTTATTCCAACTGGCATTCTAAAGGTATCGGAATATAGAGAATATTCCTTTAAGCTTGCTGTCAAGCGATAAAAATGATCGCTATTCTTTTCGATTTCCAACTGACGAAAGGAAGATCCAAATACATACACTCACCTTTCTTAAGAATCTTTCTTCTTTACGTTAACCTATTTCCGAAATTTCCAATTTTTTACGTAAATGGGAGAAGATAAAATTGTGATATTGTGAATATTATATCTTTAGTTTTTGACAATATATATTTTTATCTGTAACAAACATACAAAGACACCAACTTAAGCAATGGTTAGATCGTGCAGCGGCTAAAAATCGTGAAAATCGCGAAGGAGAAGTTTAATTAAATCCGAATATATCCAGCGTGCTATTCATCTTTCCATTATCTTTGTAATAATATTTCACCGTTATATCTTTCCATTATTTTGGAAAATATCTTTTCATTAACTATTAATGCCGTATTAATAAAAGATTAAGTCGGAGAGATAAGAAGAATCTTATTACTATTGGCTCAGTAACACATTCGCAGGTCTTTTTTGAGTGTACACAAGCTGTATAGAATCGCGTAATTGCGACGAATCGGACAGATAAGGATGAAGGAAGCCAAGAAATCAGTGCGCAGTGCGATCGATTATCGTTCTTTCTTTCCGTTATCACGAATTATCAGCAAGTCTTCGCGCTCGGCTCGCTAGGTAACCTAATTTCGTCATATCAGAGTGCGCACATACCTCTTACGCGACTCTCGCGTGCTATATGATGTGCGACACGCACGCATAAACTTGATGCACGAGTATATGCAACAAGACAGTCCGAGGCGTTTCGATTTCATGATATGTTTCAGACGAACCCAAGTTTCACCGATTTCTAAGTTTTCGAGAATCTCACGAAATGATAACACGTTGTTATTCTCCTCTCGAAAAATACATCGATTGCGAGAGAGAAGTCTGGAAAACGTCGTTTTAGCAGTTCTGAAAATATTATGGATGTCATATAGTTTGAACATGAAAGAAATCTTAAAAGTTCGAAATACTCTTTAGCATTTGTTCCTTTTTCTTTAAATTTGTCGATATATCGGCGTCTCTGCTGATAATGAAAGATGACACGAAAGAATACATAATCAAATTTTACTTAAATTAAAGGTCGGTATTACCAAAGTGGATTGTCTTTAGCCTTAATTTAATTGGCTCTTCATTTTTCCGCGTAGAATCAGAAGTGGCGAGAGACGGGAAGCTGCTTGCAGGCTTGCGACTCGATCGTTGTCGCTTGAGCAGTTTCACGAATATTAAAAATGAAGAATCCCGTGATAAGCGATGGGAAATTTTAAACGGATTGGTCATCCCGCGATCTACGACGTCCGATTGAAGGTAAACGCGAGTTCACGGAGACAGGGTGTCGATGCTGGCCCCGAGATTGCCTCCGGAGTTTCAAAATTCTCGATCGTGCGATACCAATCGCGGCGGCCGCTTGTTGTGATTTCCCGCAATAATCGATCGCACAGGTGGAATAGCACGCGCGCATACGTACTCCGCGAGGTACAGGTAGAGACCGACGAGTAACTGCGTCAGGTGCGCTCACGTACGCTCACACCGTGAGTTACCTGCGAGGCGCTCGCAGGTGCGGCCATATCGAGGGCCCTCGACGGATAGTCGGAGAAACGGCAGATGGTACAAGCGTGTCGAGCTGTACGATGCAAAAGGGGCGACGAAAGGAAGAGCGAGCAAGGGCCGCGTTCGAAACACGGGTTGTGAAAGAGTTGGGAAAGGGGGAAAAAATGCATATTTTTTCTTCTCTTCTGCTTCGCTGTTTCGTATAAAATGACAAAAAAAGAACGACGACGGTTCGTCGGTAATTTCGAACTGTGAGTGGTCTGAAGACGCGATAGGGAATTTCGATTAATTTCCATCCGTCCTATTACTGCGCGACAAGTACAATACGAATCTCAAAGTTGAGAGAGAGTTCAAAGCCCGAGTGTCGTCGATTACGAGATGAGAGTTGAAAAGTTGACTCGAAAACTCTTAATTGAATAGAGAATTAACAGTTCGAAGTTGGAGGACGCGAGAGCTGCCGCGCGACACTTGCGCGCGCAAACTTGCATGGAGAGCGGTAATCGAGCGTCTTTCGTATAAAATAGACTTTCCTATTTCTCCGTCGTGTATAATTTGCAAATAATAGTATCGGCAGGATGAGACACAGGATGCGGTCGAGTGACGAAGGTAGACCAAGCGTCGAATTTTCTAGGCGCTCTTCGGCGCTCGCTCGCGCGCGTGCGAGCGGATGAAAGGCACGATGACGAGCGTCGAAACGAGCGCAAGTAGCAGGAGGAGGAGGAGGTAGAGAGGCAGGAACGAGGGGAGAGAAGGCAGAACGAGGTAGGCGCGAGCTTAAAGTTTCCGTTATCGGCGCACGTCTAAGCAACTGATAAAAGCCCGTGTTCTTACGGACAGATAACGGGCGGAATGGCCCGGTATAAAGAGTATCACATAGATAGAGGCAGATAAAGCACGGTCCACGGAACAGGTGAATGTCGTGAGGGGCAGACCAACGCCCGAACTTCGTTGCTTCGTCGAAGTGTGTGCCGATCCGATTCGCCATCGACACGCGCATATTTCCAAGTGTCCGGCAGCGACTGTCCAGATACTCGCGCCTCTTCTCTCTCCCTCTCTCTCTCTCTCTCGCTCTCTCTCTCTCTCTCTCTCCCTCTCGCTCGCTTGTCCAGTCGCGTCCACGAAATCATCGTCATCGTTGTCGATCGCCATTGTTATCGCAGTTTGATTCGCGATTCGCGAAAGTGCGTTTTTCGTAATTGCAACACGCGGTGCCGCGACGCGTCGCGCTTCCGGAAATAACGTCTTCTTGTTTCGAGCTGCCCTTTTTCGTCTTCTTCTTCTTCCTCCTCCTCCTCCTTCTTCCCCTTTCTTCCTTTCGTGGCTTCCCTCGTCTTGCACGCCTTACCTTCTTCTTCTTCTCTCTCTCTCTCTCCCTCTTTTATCCTCCTCCTACCTTTTCCCCCTCTTGCTCATTCTGTCTCTTTCTTTCCTTTCCACCCGCACCTCTCAGTCACCGTGCGGCGTAGGATCTACCTACGTCTACCTACTTCTACCTACCTACCTACCTACTCTCGTCGTCTCTCTCTCTCTCTCTCTCTCGCGTGCGCGCGGGTACCCGTTCCCCTCTGTACGTAAAACCTCTTGGAGATATCTTCTCCCGGCCGTAGCGGAAAAAGAAACCCAATATTTCATGGAGACAGATCGTTATTGGGGCGTGCACTACAGGTACTGTCCCGCTCCCCGGATCGATCTCATGGCAGGGAAAAGGGTACGCCGGGGGGGATGACTATATCGCGAATGGGAAAGGGAAGAAATGGGGGAACGGCGGGGAAAGGGGGACTCGTTGTTCCTTAGGGTGGTCGTCGATGACTTTTCGATGAATCCGCCAACACCGAGGGGAAAGCACACTCAGCCGTTTTCGTCTGTTGCAGCGGCGGCATGGCCGGGCAGCACTACTGCCTGCGCTGGAACAACTACCAGTCGAACATGACATCGGTGTTCCACCAGCTCCTGCAGAACGAGGCCTTCGTCGACGTCACCCTGGCATGCAACGAGGCCTCGTTAAAGGCGCACAAGGTAGGCCGGTGTGTACAGCGACGAGTACGGAAAGAGAAAGATCACATGTATGATCGAGCACGCGGCCGATCGATCATCGCGAATGTCGTCGTCCCATGATTCAGAGCCGTCGCGAAATATTACTGTCCCCCGAGTGCAAACCCTCGACACACTTTGCACCAACAGACCTGCAAACATTCGAGATTCGGAGTAAATTGGCAACTTCAGCTAGCGAGTGTAAATTGGCGGATGAAAGTGAATAAATTACTGGCCATAGCGCACGATTAAATGTAAGGCTAATTATTTTTAGTGCGCGTATATAATACGTACAAAATGACGCAGATGTGGCTGAGACAATCGGAAAGTACGTACGAATGATATCACAAATTGTTGTAAGTTTCGGCATATTTGACTCGCTATCGGAGAGTGCCGGTGCCTAAGTTTGTCACGAGCTAGTTACGGTTCTGTCGCGATTATTTGCGCGACATGAGACACGTAGCGAATAATCGCGCGCCTTTCGATCCCGTTTCGATCGATCTGCAATTAGCTCAATGCGCGCGATACTCCGACGGTATCGCGGCATCTATACTTATCTTCGAATACGCAGTATTCGCGAGCGTGTGTACTTCTCAATTCCTGATTCGCGTGATACTCTGATAATATGCGCTGATACGCTTGCCGCGAATATTGAGTATTTCGCGCGTCGAGACATTCCAAATAAAAGATACGTAAATACTTCGAAACATGTAGGAGAGAAACAAAAAATTTTCACGCGAAGAAATATATGCGAAAAATCGTTTCGTGGCGCACAATGGATTCCCGTTAACATCGGCGACGTAATTGGAAGAAGTGCTGATATATCTCTATTACGAAGTTCTGTTTTTCCATGTGTGCGCAGGTGGTGCTGTCGGCCTGCAGTTCCTACTTCCAGAAGCTGCTGCTGTCGAATCCCTGTAAACACCCGACGATCATTATGCCACAGGACGTGTGCTTCACAGATCTCAAGTTCATCATCGAGTTCGTCTACCGCGGGGAGATCGACGTCTCGCAAGCGGAGCTTCAGGTGAGTGCGCGAGAATAAGGTCGATCTTTCGCCGCGATTGCACCGATCATCGCGACCAGTAATGTCGCCAGAATCGATTTCTCCCGCGACGCAATCGGACCTAATAAGCGATTTTCGTTTGAATTTTTACGATGGTCGCGCTAATGATCACACGGCTACATTGTTATTACGTTATTTTCATCATTGGTGACATCGCGTGTATAATCGATATCTTCTCTCTCAACATAAATTCGCCCAAATTGAACCCTCGCAAGAAAAGGAGCAGGACGTGAACGGAAGAAAGTGGAGTCATGAATGACTCAAATGTATGAATATATTAGGTTGGTGCATATGAAATGTCGGATTCTTAAGTGATTGTATAAAACTGTATATCTTTCTTCAAAAGCTGTTTATTCAATCAAAGTATGCTCCATTCGCTTCAATACACTTCTCCCAACGAGATTTTAAAGCGTAGATGCCTGTCTTAAAAAAATTTTGGTCTTTAGAATTAATAAACTCTGATATCGAGTTTTTTAGACTGTCTTCATTTTCATGGTGTTTGCCTCTTAAAAACAGCTCTAAATGCTTGAAAAAATGAAAATCGGTCGGCGAGAGATCCGGTGAATATGGTGGATGCTGCAAAACTTCATATTCCAGTTCGTTCAGTTTCGCAATTGTTTTGTGCGATGTGTGCGGCCGAGCGTTGTCATGGAGCAGTAGCGGGCCATGCCGATTCACAAGCGATGGGAGTACAATTTGGTGTCTCAATATCGTTGTATGGTCAACTTTCATCCTGATAGCAAGTTCCCTCGTGGATACGGCTGGATCCGCTTCCACTAGAGCCTTCAGGTCATCATTATTCACAGACGTTTTGGGTCTTCCGCGCGGCTCATTTTGCAGTGAAAAATCGCCAGTCCGAAATTTTTCGAACCAACGCTGCACTTTCCGATTGTTAACCGTATTCTCCCCAAACGCTTGGTTTATGTTGCGTGCAGCTTTTGCAGCACTATTACCAAGTTTGTACTCATATAAGAAAATGACGCGAATGTCGGCAGAATTCATATCGGTAATAAACTCAAAAGAAATAAAAAAGGGAAGACCTTCGAGAAAACCTATTTTGTTGAAATGAGTCTCTGGCAATGGACAATACGAGTATGAATGAGGTTATGCCAAATACAAAAGTATAACGAAAACAGGGAGGAAAACGTCCGCATGTAAAGAGAATGCGACATTTCATACGCACCAACCTAATACATTCCGTTTGATTAAAATAAGAAAAGAGCACAAAAATCATGCAACTATAAGCAAAAATGTATTTTTCAATATTATAATTAGGGAAAGTGTGTAAATATGGAACGGTTCCAAATGTTAAGAAAAAAGTGTAATTTAAAATCTAAATATCAAACGAATAATCAAACGAAAAAAGTGTAATTTAAAATCTAAATATCAAACGAATAATCATCAATAATGTTAGCACGTACATCTGAGAACATACCAAATTATTAAAACCAAATATATAACTGTTAAAAAGATACACATATTTTTATCAATGCACGTCAAATCAGGGATCTAAGCAAATGGGATGTTAATGTGGAACAAGCAGATAAATTAAAGAAAAAATTTTTTTTGACAGTATTATGAACTTTTTATTATTTATTCAACCTTCTTCAATGCAAATAAAGACAATAAAAAACATTTCATTTTTGCAAAATAACAAGAAAATGGCTCAAGTAACCTAGCGTTTAGATGTGAGACTACATATAACAAGATAAATAATTCCTTGAAAAATAAGAACAAAATTGTTCTTGGCATTGCAGCACCTGACCTCCTCTTTCTCGCCAAGCTAGCTGACTGCTACACTAGCTACAATACGAAACGTTCCATATTGCAACTAATAGCAATTTTCTACATAATCTAATAAATTTGAACATAGCACACGTATTTCCAAATAATTAAGCTACTATTTCACACTTTAATTTTAGTACTATCCGAGACATAAGAACTTATATTTTACACTTAATGTAAATACGAAGAAAACTGTTAAATTTTATCTTGCAACCACGCCGCACTTTCGTAAAACAGAACATTCCTCTACACGCTACGTCTCGAATGACCTAAATGGAATCTAATTTTTCTCATGAGTATAACTACATATATCAGATAGTTTTGAGCAATGATTTTAACACAAATGCGAGTTCCATATTACAATCCCGTATCGTTAAAAAATATATTTACTCTCCATATAATATAATATACAAAAGATTTCTTTCTTCTCTTGCTGAGGTCATGAATGACCCTCTACCTTTCCTTGCGATGGTTAAGAAAATAAATAGTCGTTTAGATCTCTGTGGTACAAATATCTACTACAAATGTCAAAACGCATTTTCGAGATAACTCAAATGTCACTCTGGAGGAACCAATATCGTACATTTGCAAGATTGTACACATATACAAGCTGCATTTATATATTCATTGCCAATACTGAAAATCTATAGTTCATGTTACATATATTTTCAGTTTACTGGCATATTGAATATACGAATACACAGCCACAACACCAGGTTTTTTTTAGTTTTGCTTAAATGTTCTACTTGAAAAATTAAATAGCATGAGTGATTTTCATTCTCGTGTTCCAACGTTACAAAGTATATCATTTACAATGAGTTATACCGATGGCATTACTGCGCGATGATAGGAACTGTCGCAGTGCCCGTTCAAAAATTCGCAGATATCGTGCTTTAAATCGGGGATATATAACAATGATAACATAATACGAAAAAAGAAAAAAATTTTGTTTTCATGGTAATACTGCTACAACCTTAACGATGTCGCCGATCGACGACGTTGCATGCGATATATCGTCGCTCGAATTGAGCGTTTGCAACACTGTGGTTACAGCCCGTAACCGTTCAAAAATATGGGCTCGAGCAGGTGGTTAGCGCTAATCACCGGCGTGCGACCGATTGAACGGTTGACTTTACAAGGTAGTTACGATTACTGTGATTTCTCGAAATTCCCGCAATCACGACGTTAGCCAGAGTCTACCTGTCTGAGCGAAAGCCACCGAAATGTTCGTCGACGTCGGATACGTCACGATATTAAATAACGATGAGCGCGATCACGCTTGTGTTATCTTATCGCTTACGCGCTGTTACGAGAGCCGTGAGTTGCACACGCACACGTTATTGCAAGATCTTGCACCAAATCGATATAGCTCATCCGTTCGGAAACGGATATGGGGGAGCTTTATCATTGTCTTGCTTGTGTGTTTCAATAATTCGCGGAAGAAACGCTTCTTCCGAGTCTCTAATGCGACGTATCAAGTGGATATCGCGCGCGAATCACGATTTTATCAAACTGCAAATATCTCTATTTTCAAGAATACTTTTCCTATTGCTCAGTTTGAACTTGACACGTCGTGAATAATAATACACGACTAATGTAACACGGAAAATAGATAGGTCTTATCGCTCGAAAAGAAATTGAAACGATTATATTCTCAAGTATCGTTACACAATTTAGTTGGAAGTCAATATAGGGGAAAGGACATTAAAGTCGCGCGACGCTGCGAATAAATTATCGCTTGGCGCATCCTACGATGTTCGCGTGCAGTGAAACACTTTCGAGCGCATTGGCATGTTCGAGGCGGCAAGAAAGTACATTTGAACGCCGGTGAGAGACGAGCACTTTCTCGGCCGATGAAGAGCCTCCCGTATATTTTTTTCTCTGAAATCGTTCCGACTCTACCTTGGAGTAACCGGCGAAAATGTGTACAAGTATATCACACGTCTAAAGGAAGATATTCGATTTTGAGAACTTGGCACCGCAGATGTAAATAAAACCGGCAATAGGTGTGATAAGCCGTAAGAAATGGACTAATTACGGCCGAATGTGAGGAGAATAATCGATTGTGATTGGTCAATTTCTTACGGTTTACTGCGCCTATTGTAAACTCAGCTTAATGGTACTTCTTATTCTAAGGGTGTTATCAGAGTGATTGATCGGTTCAAGACAATCTTTTATGCCTTGAATCTTTGTTTTCAAGTAACAATGACTATCTTGTGCCTCGAGTCTTAAACTCGTTCTGTTTGCGACTGATGACGAACCGCTGTATGATAAAAAATAAGTAAAAAAGTGATAAATTATCGAGGGCAAACATTGTTTTAAGCCCGGATCTACAATAGATGCATTAAGCTTTAAGAATTGATCGATCACAATCGACTTGACCATCGACGCTTGTAAGCTAAAGCTTAACACTTATTGTAGATCCGAGTTAAAGGCACAAATCGGTTGTTCCGCTAAGATCTTAATAAATGAAAACCGGTATATACTTTCGTAGTAAGTTCAATTTACACGAAGAAGAACCCACGCCAATTGTCACCTTCCAACTGTCGGGAGCAAAAACGAGAGTCACTCGCATGCATTTGCGCATCGTCGGGACGCGAGATTTCGAACAGACACCACTTCGAATCTGTCCTGCCGTTGTGTTCGCGCAACCCAACAGCGCTTACCGACAAAGGTGCAGCCCGCCGGCTGTTACCATCGCCTCCTGCTTTTTCCGTGGACAATCCGAGAGCGACGGGTAACTCGATCTGTCTTCCTTACCGACCGAAGCGACTCGGAACGTCGTCGAGTCGGTGACGGCAGGGCGCTAACCGCCGGTGCTTCCTTACCCACCGCTTCTGTTCTAGTTCGTGGCTTTATCCGCGGGGAAACGGGCTCTCCGGTCGGTCCTCTCGCCGCCGCGCTGCGCGCGCCTCCGTGCGCGTTCGAAATGCCCGCTTCGGCCTCGGCCGGCCGGCACGCGCTGATCGCTTTTTCGCGCGGAGTCCGGCGATATCGCGCGCACCGCCGCTGCCGGCATTATCGTCGTGTGACGCGCGCGAGCTCAAAACTTTTTCTCGTGCACCGCGTGCTGGCACGAGAGCGTGTGTTCTCTCTCTTCCTCTGTGTATATGTGTGTGTGTGTGTGTGCGTGAGAGAAAGACTGAGTGCTCCAGATTTCCGCTCAGGTGATATCA